TGTATAGACACTGATGTTGTTGGTGTTTTAAAGTGAATCAGAAGGCATGTTCATTAAAATACAGGAATAACTGACCCAGGCTTTAATGTGGAACTGTCATAAGTGGGATGTTCCAGATATCATAATCTGATATGTATTTATCTGGAAGTCAATGAAAGCACTTCCAGCCTATCGTTGATGTATAGAGATTGATGGGTTCTAGGCATTAAAAGTGAAACATCTGCACTGTCTCGTTGTCAACAGAGGAGCTGGGCTTTGGCTGCCAAGAGAGTTGGGTTTTTGTCAAATTACTTGAAAAGTGTTTGACAATATCAGAGGCTCTGCACCCACAGACTCTTTGCACAATAATCACTAGGATAAGCTGCAGTTGTTATGGTGCTAAGATTGTCCCTTTAACCAGAACAGTAAAATTCTTCAAACTGCATAATTTTATGACTTGGGTCCTGGATATAGGTTTAAATTATAGCTGGGGGTCTGAACCATTAGCCTAACTTCTATCTTGATTGTCAATTTCTAAGTTACATTTATACAGTGGGGTAATTTAACGACAATTAATTGACAGACAAAAATAGATGAAGAAGGCCCTGTTAAAATGAGCTTACAATCTCAGATTACCATTGCTGGGATGTTTTGGTTTGGAGAGATGCACACAAATAGAAGAAATACCCCAGTGACCCCCTTTAAAGGACAGTCTCACTACAAATGGCTACCAGAACGCTGAGCATACCATAAATTATTACAGCTGAAAGGAGAATTAGAGCAAAATTGCTGGTTTATTGCTGGTGAGCTTGCTTTCCACTCTGGGACACAAGACGTGACACCAAGAACCAGCAGGAGCCCGAAATCAAGATGGTTCTGCCAAATCCAGAAATGTTGGAAGATATGAGGAGGATGGTGTCTATTAGCAGTTAAAATGTATTTACTATTTTTTTCTGTGTTTTGTTGTGAATTTATAATGCACATTCTTTTTTACTTAAAACAGTTAAATTTATTTCACTCTGAGTCCGAGGTAGGGCTGCAGAGCTATTTTTCTTTACTTTTTGATTGGTACTTTGAAAAAAAAAATAAAGGACAACGTTTCAGACTTAACTTTAGATCGTTCCTCAAGCACGCAGCTCTAGCACATGCTTTTACCATTATCCACAGATCTCTATATAACTGTTCTTTAGGCAAAGGCTCATATGGATCTCTAATGCGAATACCACGAATGTGTGTCACTAAGGTATGTTTTTAAAAAAAACCTGCTCGGACGTGTGGTTTCCACACATTAAAAGTCACGGCTGTTCATAAAACTGAACTTGGCAACTGAAAGCTAGTTAATAAAATGCATAACTTCCAAGTGTATTCATGTCTACCTCAACCTGCCAAGTTATATAGGTGAGGATTCCATTTCACAGACTCCGCACGGACAATGACAAAACCCAGAACTTGACTTAATCACAGTAGCAGATGGAAAGCAAATAGTGATGGGGGATTTACTAAACATTAAATCACTGAAAAAAATTAAAAATAGGATCAGTAACACATCAATGAAGTCTGCGTGATCCGGAGAGTGGGCTTACGCTGAGCGGTGTCCAAAAACTGCATTTCCTTTTCTTCATTTTTCACACTCTTTATATAAACTCTGGACAAAAACAGTTGTATTGCAACATAGCCCTGCTTTTACGTTTGTATTTTTTTTTAATAAAGTTCTTATCAAAATAATATGCTTTTGGGGTGCGGGGCCTGACACTCATGGTGACCAGACGTGCTTTGCTTGAGCTCCTCGTCTGGCCTCAACATTTACCTGGGTTTTAACCGAAATTTTGCTTTTGATCTGCATCCGGTGGAAACATACCAGAGCTCTGACGGGGCAGGTTCGCTTGGCAGTGGCTGGGAGCAGAGATCGAGACAGAAACAACCGGAGGAGACGGTGCGGCCTAGTCAACCTGTGGAGCGGGAGGGATAGCCGCTCTCCCAATCTAGAGGGTCCTGGACACGAGCTGAAACCTCCTCTAAGCCTAGTTACCCCCCCTTTGGACCGGTGGGGGTTATCCCGGTCCCCACCAGGCAAGCTCACACCTTCACATGCACCTGTGCAGCTAAACGTCGAAAGCGGTCGGCTCCCACGAGGCCACACTAAAATGGCCAACGGCGGCACAACAGTTCCACAGACAGAGAGGGGAAATCCTTTGTGGCACGCTGAAATGGTGCTCAAGACCCACCCAGCCCGAGCTGACACTGGGGAGGATTTCTCGATGGCTCTCGACTTCGTAGGTACTCACCCCAGGAAAAGGCTCCAAGACAGGCAAGCACCACAGCAGCCTGCATATCTATGCCTACCCACACTGCAGTGGCACTCTCCTGACACGGGCGCAAGACCTACTTCAGCGGAGCACAACTCACCAACGCTCCTGAGGCCTGTGCCAACAACCTGCACCGGGAAAGCATCTGAGGAAGTCAATGCCATGGACCAACTCCACTACGCAGCAGTCTGCACCATGGTACTAAAGCTTGACAGGTACCATGTCCATACTCACCCAACAACCGGGAGACATGAGGAAGGCAGACTACAATTGCTGCATCCAGTAGCGGGACACTGGGTCTCTGTGGACCTCTTTGGTATTGTAAAGGGACTCTCCTCACGTGTGGGAATGGGCTCATTTTTTATTATCTTTCTCATGGTCGGAGCTGGCGGTGACCCCAGCCTGCCACAATTAAGGCTCACATCGTTGAAATACGCCTCGGCTAGCCCATCTGATTTTATGATACTTGCAGATATTAATAAGCAAGTGCCCTCTCTGTTAGTGTTAAAGCTATTTTAATTTTATTCTCCTGCCTCCTGACGCTGATAGCACAACATGCTGTATTCTGCTTGGTGGTAACTTACTCTAATAATGATCGTAGCTAAGCTTGTAACCTTAAAATTTGACAACGTAGTCAGTTTGGAAATCTGAATCTGTAATCTCTCATAAGCACTCACTCGTAACGGACACGTTGATTTAACTCTTGATGAAACTACATTACGTAAAACCAGAAAACGTGCAATGTTTAGATTTGCCACGCAATTGTTCTTACATGTTGATAAGCCGGCAATCACTATTGTGGCATTGCCTGTCTCGTATTTTTTTCATGCACAATAAAATAAAGAATTTAATAATAAAATAATATGCTTTTTAAAATTAAGCATCTCGGACAAGTTTTTTTTTCTTATAAAATATATTTATCTATTTTAATCTACTTTAAATATTTCTATTGTTATCTTTTTAATTTTTTAACTTCAATGTATTGTTGTTTAGATATCAGGAAGGCTCTCCATCACTTGGTTAGAATGTAAATTAGCTTAAATTAAGCCTTATTTATCTTTTACAAGACACTACGTGTATTCTGACTGGTGCATGACCTCACCCAACAATAAAGTTCATTGCATAGGGCACAAATTAAAATTATGATATACCACACAGGAAGAGAAGACAATGATTTTAAACAGTCCCTACAGGTTGAAAAGGTCATTCCAAGCACTATGATCACTTTAGTGATTTCAAGTAATCATGGTGGCTGCAGTCCATAAGTACACATACAGAGTTTAACCTCTTTTCTTCCAGAGGAGTGACCCCAACTTTTGCAACATTATTAGTCAGAATAAGAGTTTTGGGATAATCCTACGCAGAGAATTGCATTAATTTGCTGAAAGCGATCAGCTGTCATTTTCAGTCAATGATTGACTGGCTGGATCGAATTTGGCCTCTGCAGAAGCTGCATGCCGACACCCTCGGACCCTCGGTACATGATGGGGAGCCAGGTGAAAGGGCAAATTGTTGTGAAATGGGGCCAGGGTACTTCTCTTACCATAACCACTACATCAGTCTGTCCTGGTAATGATGTTGGGAATAACCCTTTAACACAGTATTTTAAAACATGATATTTATTCTGTAAGAGTTGTTCAGTCTGAGGACTATAGTCAGTTTGTAACAGTGAATATTCTTTGCATCAGGAATGTAGCTGTGGCAGGCTCTCCAATCCCCCCAAATTCAATTTGCAGGTGTTCTCTAATGGAATTCCTGTTTCCGAATTCTTCTACAAACTTGGCAAAATTATTTCGAGTACAACACTAAATATTTCTCAGTGGAGTATTATTTTGCCATCAAACGGATTAAGTAGCAACGTTGCAGCAAACGCAGGTGCCTTTTTAAAGCCATGTTTGTTTCCAAGTATATTATGTATCTGGAACACAGTATATATTCTACTAAAACTGTGTAATAATGATTTTCTTTTATTTTTAGAACAGATATAATAACATTGCATTCATTATAAATAAAAAAAACAGAAAACCTTCTTCCCAAATACATATCTGTTCCTTTCTGTTATTCACACCATAAAATTTCCTACAGAAATGACGGAGGGACTGAGAACATCTGCTTGTGATATCATTCTCCAGTGACCCGAGTTATGATATGAAGTGCATGGAAAGCAATATAGCTGCACAGGATATTGTAGAACAGGGGTAGGTACCCTTCGGTCATTGTTTCGGTTTCTTTTTCTCCCACTATGCTGATTGACTACATCTCCCATGATGCTTTGACTGCAATATAGCTGTGAGAGCTTTTTTGGAGATGTAGTCCACAACGTCTGGTGTGCCAACGGTTGCCTACCCCTAGTCTAGATTGACAGGTTTAAAGGGAAACGGTCACTTTTCTGGGAATGACACTGTTCAATAAAATATGGAAATCACCTATACATTGAGTTACAGGGACACTATCAGCACCCAGACCACTTCATCTCATTGTACAGCGCTGTGGAATTTGTTGGCGCTATATAAATATTATAATAATTATATCAACAAAATGATTACTCTCGTTTTAACCCTGCAACTAAAAACATTTCTGTCCTGCAGAAACTGTATTGTTTGGATTGCAGGGTTTAACCCCTTAAGGACACATGACATACATAGATGTCGCGAACCGTCCGCGAACTTCTCGCGAACGGTTCGCCACGAACTGTTCGCGGCGAACTCCGGTCAGCTGGCACATCCCGGCCAATCTCCAGCAGACCCTCCCTCCCAGACCCTCCTACTTCCTGGACAGCAAAATGGTTGAAACATGGATGCTGTCCAAGAAGTAGGAGGGTCTGGGAGGGAGGGTCTGCTGGAGATTGGCCGGGATGTGTCAGCTGACCGGAGTTCGCCACGAACAGTTCGTGGCAAACCGTGGCGAACCGTTCGCGAGAAGTTCGCGGACGGTTCGCGACATCTCTAATGACATGTGTGACATTATTCATGATTCCCTTTTATTCCAGAAGTTTGGTCCTTAAGGGGTTAAATGCCTCTAGAAGCAGTTACTCTGAAAGCCACTAGAGACACTTCCACTAGGTAACCTAGAGGCTAGTGCACATGTGCAGCAAATCGCAGCAAAACATCTCGCAGAGACCACCTTACTGGAGCGTTTTGCCGCGCATGTCCATTTGCCTCTAGTGGTGGGTGATCACCTAAACAGTGATTAGCACACTACAGTGTTAGCAATACACAAATGTTTTCCTAACACTATACTGTTCCTTTAACTTTTTATCTAATGCTCGATTTTCTTTTATATGTGAAGAATAACATTAGTAATTGCCATCACAAACATGGTTTCGGTTTCTTTACCTCGCACTATGCTGATTGACAAGTACAAAGGACCGAGCTTATAACAATGATTGACCTGGAGCTATGAAGTTACAGAATTTAATACAGCTGCGTGGATTTCTGCATTTCATTTTATTTTTTTAGAACACATATTTATTAAATATAGAGGATAAGTAAATTTAATATTAAATCCATTTTAATATTGTGAATGGGAGGCACATGAATATTTATAGCGTGCACATAGCTCAGTTCTATAACAGGTTATCATGTTATAAATGTATTGTCAGAATAAAATTGTAGGGTTTATTCAGAATAATCTGAGCAGTAGTGAACTGACACCCCATTGAAAATATACGTCAGAATAAATAAATTACATAATTATTCTAATTTAGCTATTTAGACACAAAGTTTGTAAGTAGTTGTCAATTCACCACGGCTTAGTGTTGAGCAAATTAACTCCAAAAACATCAATGTTTGCTAGACAGAAGAATGAGGTTTTACATCTTTTGTCCCTGGTAAATGGGAATGGAGGATCAGGATGTATGGGTGCATGGCTAATTGGCTATGTCTGGGGGAGATGATTATGCATACCATATACCAAGGGGCATGTGCATGGGCAGATATAAGTTGTGTATACACAAAGTACGGCTAAAGTGCTTGCTCGGTGTGGCTCAGTATACGCTGAGGCTACGATGAGGCTTTCAGGAACACCAAAGGTTTGCTTGACAAGGGTCACAATTTAGGATATATGTGTGTGGTTGGCTTGATGGTAAAATTAAGCGGTATGACTTTATTATAGGAGATTATATAAATCCTATTAGATTCTGATGGTCTCAACACATAACCTGTTATGAAGTTGCCGAACAGTTAGATGTATAAATCTGAACATAATTTTGAATCGTTCCCATTTTTCACATTTTCACAGTATTGCATTGATTTGCAGAGCAAAGCACAATTTAATCACTGGCACAGAATCTTTCAAAGGTTTCAATGATGTGAGCAGCCATTATTGGCCCTGTTGTGATTATAAGTTTATGGTTTCAGTATTGAAAGCATGCATCGCAGAGATAACATCGAGAATGCATGCAAGCGCACTCCTACTGCATGTGAGCTCATGACAACATTCTTTCCCCTTTTTTGACCATTTAATCACTAGACCGGTGAAACTTAAAGAAAAAGCGTTAATTGAACATTCTGAGTTCAACTCTAAATCCAGTATAGAAACTCATTATTTGCCACTTTATTCCTTGTTTTATGTTTAACTTCAATAATTCAATATAATGTAATTGCTATAGGACATGGGCAGGGACAGGGGCACAAAATGTAAGAAACATTTTGTAACATATTCTGTTATTTTCTTAATATAACAATTTTACGAGGAGGTACTGTCATTCATTTTATCAAAAGCCCTCGCCGGTTGGAATCAGACTTATTTCCGTACGGCATAACTGCAATTTTAACATTTTCTATTCTCGTCAGAGAGAGCCGTCTGGCCGACGTTCGCTCTGGAAACATCTGGCATGGAGTATGCATGAATAAGCCAAGCGATTGCCTAGGGATCTTGCCAGCTGAAACTACTACTGTAGGACCAGCTGGGCAATGTTTGATGTAGCCGCTGATACTATTAAGACATAGGTTATAAAATAATTTGGAGCTATTTTTAACATAACAATGGTTTGGATAATTTAGGATAACACGGATTTACATGTGTGCCTCAAGCACCTGTCTCCTTTAGCGTGGCTGGTATTTTACTAATAAAAAGAAAACAGACAGTTCCATTTATTAATGTTTTTTTAAATGTATGAATATGTATATTAAAGATACAGAAATCAATATCACAATCCAGTTCTGTTCAGGCATTTTCCAGGTCCACAGGAAGAAAAAACAGGAACTCCTGTTTTATCTACTGCTTGGTGCAAAAAGCAGAGCTGATATCAATGAAAAACATGTATATAGGATCTTGCAAAACTGAAATACTGAACTTCAATTTAAATTTAAATTAAGAGAACAACAGCAAATCAAATACAATTTTAAATGTAACCTACTATTAAAGGACCACTATAGGCACCCAGACCACTTCAGCTTAATGAGGTGGTCTGGGCGCCAGGTCCAGCTAGGTTTAACCCTTTTTTCTATAAACATAGCAGTTTCAGAGAAACTGCTATGTTTATGTTAGGGTTAATCCAGCCTCTAGTGGCTGTCTCATTGACAGCCACTAGAGGGCTTCCGCGCTTCTCACTGTGAAAATCACAGTGAGAAGACGCCAGCGTCCATAGGAAAGCATTGTGAATTGCCGTGCATGTGCATTCAGCCGAAGAGGAGGAGAGGAGGCGGAGAGAAGGAGAAGAGTCCCACGCCCGGCACTGGAGAAAGAGGTACGTTTAACCCTTTTCCTCTCCCCAGAGCCCGGCGGGAGGGGGACCCTGAGGGTGGGGGCACCCTCAGGGCACTATAGTGCCAGGAAAACAATTATGTTTTCATGGCACTATGGTGGTCCTTTAACCTGCTATTGTGTGAAAAAATGTATCCAGCTCCTGCGATCCTCTTTCTGCTCTGGTTTTGTGGCAGTCCACTGGTGACAATGTCAGTTCACTGAAATTGAATATAATCTCCTATAACTGTTCCTGACATCCAGCCAATAACAAGAGACTCCTAAACTCTTATGTGTATTATTAATGTGTGAGAGTTTAGGAGAGCTTCCTGATTGGCTAATTCATGGGAAGTCTTTATAAACCTCAGTGCAATGCCGAAAGACAAGCCCAATACCAGAGATCCAACAAGCCTGGGTGGGGGGGAGGATGACAGGAGCTAGGGGAATATTTATTTTTCTTAATATGGAGGTCAGATATACACATTTCTGAACTCTCAACTGGAAAAGTACCATTCAATAAACAACAAATCTCAGAGAAGTTCCAAAACTAAAGACATATTACAAACACCGTGTTACATTTATCTTGTTACAATCAAACAAACAACAGGTCCTGTTGCTACCTGGTTTGGTTAGCTCAGTAGAGCTAAACTCAAGAGGCAGGAATTGCCCAAAGCACGTGCCTTGCAAATACTTCTCATTGAGATACACATGTATATTTGTGATTGGACGGCCATGGAAAGTCTGGGCGGGTTTGAAAGGGTCAGGGGTGCAAAGTATCAGACAAGAGACCTGCAGCTTTTGCAATATGTTTTAGATATAACGCAATAAAAATGCATAATTAAAAGGACACTGTAGGCACCCAGGTCAATTCATCTCATTGAAGTGGTCCTGTGCAGTGCCCCAGTCCCCTTAACCCTGCAATGTAAAACATTGTAATTTTAGAAAACACTTCTTCCAGGGAGCCACTAGAGATGCTTCCTCAATTCCCACAGAGTTTAACTCCATGAAACGACACTGGACATCCTCGTTTTACCTGAGGACATCCAGCGTCTTGAAAGTCCCTACAGTAATGCAACAACGCCATGACCCCCGGTGCTTGAATCTGGTAAGTGAAAGAAAGAGCTTTAACCCTTTCATGATAAAGGGGCGCAAAGGCAGAGGGACACTATAGTGTCAGGAATACAGTTTTTTATTCCTAACAGTAATATTCTTTTAAATGCATACATGTTTTTAATGGGGGTTTATCTACTAGACAGTGATTTTTTATGTTATTTTTTTTTTTTTTTAGGGCAGTGGAGTGTCCCTTTAACACAATACTAAATCACTGCAGAGCCTAAAAGTGTTACTATAGATCAAATCCTGTTTACCATCTATACAGTGTTGGATCACTCAACAAACGGGTCTCATCATCATCTGATAACTCATCGTCATCAGCACCACCACCTACTAAACAAGCAAACCCTTAGGTAGGCAAGCAAAGTTTCTGCCAAGACATTCAATTTTGGAAAAAAATTCAGTGCACATGGATAGCTTCCCGGGCTGGCCAGTTTGCTCACCTATCTATCATGGTGTCATCATGAGAAACCAGAGGTAAGTGCTCCTGGGATGCGTTTTAGGAAAATTCTGCATAGACCAGGAGTAGGCAGCCTATGGCACGTGTGCCATGCACGGCACTTGAGGTGTCTTTCCACTGCACTCAAGGCTGCTAGAGCCAAACAGGATCTGGCCTATGGAGACTCAGTGAAACTTCAGATATCTGCTAATACGAAAAGATGGTGAGGGACAATACTCAATATGCACTGCAGCACGTAGAGGAAGTGATCTCAGATCACTTCCTCCCAGCACTTGTGAATGGGATTCCACACTGTAGTAGAGCAGCCCACAGCTGTTATTGCAGCTCCTGTCTTTGACCTTAACCTGGCCAGCCTGGTCCCCACTGGAACCCAGGGAAGCCACCCACACTGCTAGATATACACAGAAATTCAGAATAACCCTCCCCTCTTACAAATAATACGAACAGCCCACATACAAACATACACACAAAGCCCACAAACTCAACACCACCAACAATCCACATACATGCACACAACCCCACATGCAGCCATTCACATGCAATACCCCAAACAGCCCCACACATACACACACTACCAAACACACAAGGTGATAAATCCATCCACAC